GTGATGGTAGATAATGCGTTACTTTTTAGACTATAATAATAGAAAATGATAATATGTTTTAGGTATGTGGTCACTTTATTCACCGTACAATATGTAATGTAATAATAGAACCACAAGAATATAAACCAAATTATAATAATTACATTAGGGTTTTGTTATAATTACAGTGTACTGTAATAATAATAATAATAATAATAATAATAATAACCAAAGTAGAGATTTGATGGCACTAATCATTTATTCCTCTATTGGCAGACAATGGTTAAACTGTACTGAATTACAACAAAACTGCTTCCCATCTAAATTTGAATTTTAGTCTTGGACATTTAGACATGGCATAGCACCGTTGTGATTTATTGAGGCCATAATCTTAAATAAAAAAGTCTAGAAGACGCAAATGATGGTAAAAGGTTAATAGGTCGAAAAGTGCCTATACTAATTGGTAGTAATACATTTTCTTGATGTCCTTATAAGTAGTAGTCATAGTGCTATCCTTGTAATTTCTTATTTTATGATTTTGTTGATATATATTGTTTCTTGTAGATTATTATTTGGTTGTAAAATTGTTTTATTATTATTTGTTGTTTTGTTACTATCGATTATCTCTTGTACTTTTATACGTCTTTTTTTTTTGTCTGTTTTTTATTTTGATCCGAGGATCTATTGAAAACAACATCTTTACCTCACCTTTGAGGTAGAGGTAAGATTTATGTTACATTCTACTCTCCTCAGATCTTGTAAGAATACACCAAGTATATTATTATTGTATTTGTCTTCTGTTTTCTCCTCCTTTTGTGTAAAATTATTAGCATACTATTTATGTTAAGATTTGAGGGGGTGGGGGTGGGGTAAGAGAGGTATAAAAAATAAATTAACAAAATTAAAAGTGTGAGTGGCAGAAGCAACCTACCAATTTATGTCTAATCAGATGTATTAGTAGTTGGCTGCTTGTGTTCAACTCAAGTAGGTATCATTAATGCTTAAAAAGTCTACTCATAATAATGTGTATTTTTCACTGTTGTAGATTAAGACGACCAAACCATAATCTTGAAATAACACCATTAACTTTAACTATGTCCTGTCCTGTATGTAACAAGTTAATGAGTTTGGACCACACAAATAACAACGATAAGATTCTCCCTAGGACCACATTTATTGTTCTTATAATACAATGAGAATAAGTGATTGACAGATATTTATCTACAGTTGCAACACATGTTTTCTTCTAGTATCATTAATTATATATGTGAAATGATTAGATATGATGAACAAAGCCATTTATGTATATCTCTTCTCTACGTATTCATTTTTCAATTGTCTCAACGTGATTTATAGGTCACGGGTTTGAGCTATGAAATCAGTCAATAATGTTAGAGTAGGTTGTGTGTTGTTCTTCTCGAACCCCGTGTGAATGCATGATACATCGTGCATTTGGCATTATATAACTCTTCTCAAAGTAATCATTTTTTGGCTTGTCATATGAAGAGAAAGTTGAAGGTAGATCCACAGGTTGAAGTTTATCAGTTTCTACAACGATATCAAGTTAATATACAATAGTAACTAAGTCTGTCAAGTTGATACACACATAAAATTTTGTCAAAAGCTACTATATGTTTGTATGAGCTTATACATGGCATTCTAGATCCGCCGCAGAGGGACAATCCGGTGGATTAATCAACAACAACATATCCAGTGTAATTCCACACAGTGGGTCTGGGGAGGGTTGTATGTACACAAACCTTACTTTTGCCTCAAAGTTATATAGAGAGGTTGTTTCCGATAGACCTCCGGCTCAAAACAATAACAGTCTAGGAAAAGACATAATGGGAGTGCTATAGACAATAAAAATCCGGCAGATTAATCGAAGTACATAAACCGATCTAGACACTATGGTTATAAATTTATAATCTATACTTTTGAAAGAAAAATACAGTGAGGGGCCAGAGGCAAAAGTCTTCACATTAGGTGCAAAAGGCGACTCCCTAACTATACAAAGAAAGAGGTTGCCCACCAATTAGAATGCAAGAGGAGCAAAGCTCATTCCAAAATAAGAAAAACAAGATATCATTCTCATCTACAAACTCTCCATTTTTACTACTAACTTATATCCATTGTGGATGAATCACAAGGAAGATGGTAACATAACTATAGAGTAGACTCGACGGTATGCCACAAGGTTATAAAAATACGTTGAGCTAATATTCAAGTCGAAAAAAAAGAACTCATCATTCCCTAGCTAAGTAAAAGGAGGCAGAATAAGTAAGCAGTTCAAGTCAATGAAATAACAGCAAAAGAAGTATGTAATTGGAGCTTTTAATAATTTGATCGAGATTCGTATGAAGTGGGCGAGAATGAAAAGAGAGAATAGTAATAATGAGGGAGATTTGAAAGTGTGTAGATTCTGGTAGAAAAAGACTGGTTTCCTGTTGATAATAATCATTCTGTTTCAACCTTTTTAAAAAACAGGAACATGACAACAATGAACTATGAAATCGAAAAACATACCATACGAGTGAAAAGGCCTTTTCAATTCCTCTAGTTGGTTGAGCAGTCTATTAGTAGTTAGCGTTATCAGCACATTCCTCGTGTCCCTCCATCAATTAATACCTATAGCAAATTCTATAGACAAGTGAACTAGCAGTAACAATATCATCCTCCAGAAAAATCGGCTTTTTAATTTCATTTCCTCTTTTTGGCCCTTCCCGCCTCTCTTTTTCTTGTATACTATACAATTTTTTTGTCCAGAAAGATCAAGGAATTAATTTGTATTTGCAACAGAAGAATTTTTTGTATAGAATGTGTAAACAGGCTCCCACTGTAGAAAAGGAATGATTGAAGATTCCGAAAATAAAAGCAGCAAAACTTTAACACAATAATGAGAATTGCATACCAAATAAATCATACAACCCATATGCAGCAGTGCCCTACCTTCTGTATGTTTCATCTCACCACTTTTTCACCATCTCCTGTACTATTGCACACTAAGATGTTAAAGAATAATCATAAACATGTCCCGTAGATTGGAAATTTTACCTGTAGGGTACTATGTCATGTTAAGATTGTCAAGAATTCAGCCACAAGAAAAGGAATCAAATGATGGTTAATGTATCCAATTTCAGCGTAATTATATATTAACAATCATTTCATAGAGGTTTCCAAGACCAGAATTTGTTAAGTCAGCTATGGAACAAGTACATCAGCATGTAAGTCATAAATTGTAGGTATTCCTTAGAAATCTATAAGCAACTAAGTTATAACAGTTCCCAGTTTAAGACGAATACTTGAACCAAAACTTAGTGAAGTCCTATTATCTGCAGTGTATTTATGAACGGTGCACGTGAATGATAACATGAAAAAAAAAAAACACAGCATGCCTCCATACATACCAAATTATATTAGTAGTTAATGTTATAGGCAGCAAAGTAGAGCCAAAAGTCGGTTGAAATTCGTTGAAAAATCTTTTCAGCTATAATATGCAATCCATAGTGCCAACAGCCCCCTTGCTTACAGTTTGCTCAAAGTAGCTTTTCCCCATCAGGTGAAATAACCAAGCACTAAGAAAAAACTTTAACTTTCAAATTCAGAATCTGGTGTGAAATTTTCAACAAAGTACCACCTTGTATGAGAGTAAGATAGATGGTCATGATGCTTAAAGAAATAGTTAACCTAAAGCTTTTTAAACAGTCTTGGCTGATAGGAATAAAATAAACAATTAAATACATAGAAAATAGAAAGAAACAGAGAACTTTCCCTCTAACCTTCCTCTTGATGCAACGTCTGTGGGGCTCTTAAAGCAGATGCTCTGGAGTCATTCTTCTGGCTACAAGGATCTGCTTCCGGACTGTTCTTAGGTTGACTGATCTCATAAAAGCTTATCTGATTTTTCATGCAACAATCAATGAAGAGAAACTTGACTAGAGAAAAGAAGCACGACAAATTCAGACAACTATTCTAGACATGTCTTCCAACATTTAAAAATAATTCTAATGGGAAATTATTACTTCATATCACTAACATCTTCAAGTAGCTTCCCCTTTCCACTTGGGCGAATTTTATATTTACAATAGCAAGTGTTAAAGCCACCCAATATAAGCATAAAAACTAGCACAAGTTGATGTATTGATAGCCATGAATAGCTCAAAACACAACGAATGTTCTTTGTTCTTGCCCCCTATTTCCCAAGTGACATATCGAAGTTTTGATAATTCGCATCGCTGACTTAATGAGATATCAACTTCATGTTGCATTTGATCAAATGATAAGATCACTATCAGCATGAATATCAACTTCTTTTGGATAACAGATGAAGATTCAAAAGCAAAGTTGAAATTAAGAAAGTACATGGCAAGAGCAAGGAATATAACAGCTGAATCCACAAGTTCTCGTATAGATTAATCAAAACACACAGTTCGGGATAAGCTTTAGCATTTTGTGAAACTAAAACTGAGAAAGCATTGCATGGCTATATGTTCTCTCGACTATATGAATGAACCTGGCTCAATATTAGAAATATTGACATGTCGTGGGCTAAGGTCAATAAATAAACTGACAGCCGACAAAAATGACAATATTAGTTAGTCTCTGCCTTTGTTTTTTCCTGTAACATTTTTATTGACTAAAAGCAAGCAAGGTAAGTCAATTCACAGATAAGAGTTAGAAAGTAAAGTGGAACATAAATATGGTGAAATTTTGGTCTAGTTATAAATAAAGTACAAGCCTTTTTGTCACTTTTTTGTTAACCTCCTAAATCCTTTTGCTGACACTGCCGTTCAAACAAGTTAGGCACTTAAAACTCTCCTCATTATCTGCAAATGGAATGAGCATCAAGATGCAGCTTTAGAACATAAATTAGGACACCCTTGATTCAACTCATTGCCAAAGTACTTGATATTAGCCAAAAACTATGCAAGTTATTACAAAAAGTCCCATTCTATCCCAGTAAGATATTGTGATTACGAACAAGCATGAGCATATTTCTTCAGAACCAAGTACCTCTAGCCTCACAGATAACAGGTCATTATATCATCAATAGGCAATTGATAAAATAACAATGCTCAATTTCCTCATATTGTCTACAAACAATATCTCCAAAGCCGTCTATTAGAAGTAACAAATCAAGGAAAGTGAAATTAAAAGAATTTATACACCCTAAATATCAATATTCTACAAGAGTTAAGAGATATGAAGAAAATAAATTAAACTGAGGGTGCATCTACAAAGACTTCATTGAACATGTCATCCTCACCATTTGCTGTAGTAAGCATCTCAGCATCCTTCTCCTCATCACTGGAAAAATCCCGTTTCTCAAGTTTTGCGTGAGCTGCAATGAAGATCATCCTTTGAGCTCTATCCATGCCAACCCTCGATTGCCCTTGCAGCGAAACCCATTTCATAAAGGACCAATTACATTTGAATCCACATGAGGTTGCCTGAAGGAAGAGAAGCCTAACAGCAACCTTCCCCAGCGACTTGAACTCTTTCAGGCAAGTTTCCCATACAAGCCTGCTACTCTGAGGATTTGCAATTTTCATTCTTCCTGTTACAGGATCTCGCTGCTTTACTTGAACAGCCTGAGCATACAGTGGGTCGAGCCCTTCTGATCTCCATTTCATAAGCTCCATTAGTGCAGTGGGAGCTTCCTCCCGTGGTACTAGCCGTGTTATTAGCTTGTCTATGTCCTTCTCTTGATCATGTGTCAGACGTTTAAATGGTGGAAGATACTTCCCACTTGCATCCCTCACTAAGTATAATGGATCAAGTACAAATGCAGCTGACCATGCAGGGTGATAGTTTTTCTTGAACCGTGTATCGATTATCTTCTCAATAGGTCCCTCAGCAATGCTAAATTTGGCACACCAGTCCTTTACTTTAGCTCTCAACTCCTCCCAAAGAAGAAGACACTGACCAACTAAGGGTCTCTCGACCTCAATATCATCAGTCATCTCCTTGATCAACTTCACTAGTGAATGAACAGCCTCCACGTCGTTCCAAAACCCAACATCCTGTATCATTTCAGCAACTTCTTTAGCAACAGGATCCTCTATGCATGAGACCTTATAGGAATCATCCAGCACTATTAACTGCAGTATTCGAGCATAACTTAGTATATCCTCCAACATTGCAATAACAGGACCATAGTTCTTAGAGAGATTGCAGTCAGCTGAAGGAACTCTAATCAACCCTGCAAGCTCAACACCGTGCGACCTGAATTTCCTAAAATGATTTCTGATTTGGGACTTGCTATTGAAAAGATTTGCAATTTTTAAGCAATTATCAGTGACAATTTTAAAAAGTGGAAGCTCTCTACCAAAGTCCTTCAACAAACTAATAAATCCATGAAGTTGGCATGAAAGATTAACCATCCAATGATTTTGTAACTCCAAATTCCTCAATGCCTTACCTTTATACTTGTCTCCAACTATTCCTACACATCTTTGAACAACATTACCACACAACCCTTTAATAGTTTCACGTAAAACTTCCTCTGCATACTCCGATGGCACCAAACCGCCCTTATACACTGCCTTATGAAATACATTAGTACCATTAGGAAGATTTATGATAAATTTAATCACAGTATCTTCCCCATACTTACAAATATCCCTCCCCCATCCATCTGAAGAAACTTGAAAAAATGCTGCATCGTGAATCCTGGCTTCGGACTCCACTCTTGCTTCTTCAAACTTAGAATCAAGTTTTTCTCCTACAAAATCCTTTCTTGACACCTCAGGCAAGCCTACTTGGTTAAGGAAAGCCTTGAATTTGGGATGCTCGAGACTCGAAAGTGTCACTGTCCCACAAGACTCATAAAACCAATCAGCCAACAAATTGAAAGCTGAATTCACCTGGTCCTTACACAAAGCTGGACCAGGTGAACTTTTCAAACTTTTAAGCCTCTTTACACTATCTTCCAACATCGCTAAAGCATCCAAATCCTCTTTCCCACCCGACAACATCAAATGTTGTTGATTAAGACCCGTATGGGTAACAATTGCTTGAGCTGTTTGGAGTGGTGAATAGCCCATTTCGCCGCAGAATCGCGGCGAAGTGTTGACCACTCCAAATTGTTGCGAATTAGAAGAAGTACCAGTAAGTGGTGAACTTCGCTTGCGATGATTATTCTGCGAAGTAGGTGAAGCTAAAGGGGGTAATTGTGAAATGGGCCTCAAAACTGAGCCAAAATTGGGACAAGTACCTCTTTTAAGATGCTCTGTAGCAGTCCGAGATGGATTTGAAGCCGAAAACGCAGCATCACACAAAGTGCACTTGAGTTTCACTGCTTTAGGGAGATTCGTTTCCGGGTTTTGAATCAAAATAGGCTCGAGATGAGCCCAGTACCAAGCTCCTTTCCCTTTGATAGCTTTTGTACGGACCGCAACTAACCCTTCATATCTCTTGCTCAATGCTTTCTCCGCCATATCTTCGCTCGAAGTCAACACTGAGTTAACATTGACGTCAGCCATTTCAACAGAAACAAAATAAATTAAAAAGAGCTTTTTTTAGGATATTGAGTTTGTTTATCAATTCCCGACTATCATCATTATTGTGTGTGAAGAATTTCGATGAAAACAAAGTGGTGTTTCCATACCGGAAACCGGCGATCCAACCGGCGAATGAAGAAAAAAAACTGAGAGATGAAACTGCAGACTATAAGTTTGAGAAAATGCTTAACTGAATCTGCAGGAGAATTGGTGAAAGGAGCAAGAATGGTAGTATTGGTTAGGAAAAGAAAGTGACTTCATTGGAGTCTTATTATGCTACTTTTGTCGCTCACAACTGAGAAGACAACCTGCGCAGAGAGGGGGGTGGGGTGTGTGTGCGTGTTAAACCTGGTACCACGTGCTCTTAAAAGCGCGTGTCCAAAAATCTACCTAAATTCTCTTTTATAGATTTCATCAAGAGTGATAAGTACTTTTTCATTTTCAGCGACATATTTTGTATTCGAGTGCTGCTATTATCTTTGTTAGCATTTCTTAAGTATGAAATTATTTTTATTTTTGGATTTAATCGATTTTCAATTCGAATTTGAAGAGGAATTAAAATAAAAATTGTCAACATAGAGGAGTAGAGAGGGGTCGAGAAAATGTTTGAGCCAATGGAAATTGACTCCTCCATTTATGGTCAATACTGGAGACTGATACACACTGCTTAGGCTGACATCAAAGTAGACCAATTTTATATTTATGTAGAAAATGAAATTCACCAATGACAGCTTGGGTATTTACTGTATTTCTATTTTTATTTTTTTCCACTCAATTATGATTAGGGTCAGAATAGTGTATAAAAGATTGTGTTTTGGGGGAAAATCTTGTAATTTGGACTTTTTGATGATATGGTTGGTTTTGATTATGTAATACTAATTTGAATTATACAACCAAATTTTCCTAATATTTTTGTACTTTTTTATGTGCAAAATGAACTTGTATTGTGGTATTCATCTCAAGTGAATAGGGTCTAGGTGTCTATTTCAAAGAGCAGATGCAGATGTATTTGTTGATGGTACGGATTTAGAAAATGTCAGTAAATTTTACTTCAAATTAGTACATATTAATATTTAGAAAATTATTTATTTAATATATATACAAATCATAAATATAGGACCTAATAGCTCTAAAGGAATAATATATAAGAGAAAAATTTACGTAAATTCAACTAGTTTAGAAGCTAATTACTTAGATACACTCTGTTTACAATATTACGTATCTTATCAGATTTTGCTGCATCCAAATACGTCTAGATATATGTATCTCGGGATACATGAAGTCAAAATTAGGTGTAATTTCTTCTAGATACATTATATCTTATATCTAAGTGAATTCGCATATCTCCCTATTTTAATAGCAAATATACATGTATATTAATGTATTTTTCTCAATTTATGGTAAGATACGTAATATTTTGAATTTAATAATAATAATAATAATATAATAATAATAATAACAATTGATAGTAAAGTATGCCTAATTACATAGTTTCCAATTTAGAAAAAGAAATTCTGCAAATTTAAAATGTGATACATGGACCATTTGCTTTTGTTACCAAGTGAGTGGTGTGTTTGGTAGAAAGGAAAAGATTTTCCTAATTTGTTAATATTAATCAAATTTATTTTGAAAGATTTTTTTAAAGAAAATAAATTTCTTAAAAATGAAAAATGATTTACCTAACGAAAGCAGAAAAAACAAGTTAATACTAGCTAGTAACATTCTATCTTGCTTGTGTCCTCTTTATCCTATAACACACCTCATTGTTACCCATACCCCCAATAGCCCTCTTCTCCACCATCCCACACAAGGACCTCCCCACCTCCACCTCTCGAAATATCTATCTAAATTATATACATATATTTTTAGAATAATTTTATTTGTTTACATGTCGAACACAAGAAAATGAATAAACTTCTAGAGTTTGCTGCTCTTTCAAGCTAGAGAATGATTTATACTGCTTACTCTTATTTGATGTGTTCTAGCGTAAATTAAAATTGTGTGTTTAGACGTGGAATTTATTTTTGAAAAAGTTAAAAAAAACTGGGTAAAAGTTACTATTATTTTACTTAAAATATTCCTAAAATCATTTTCAAAAACTTTGATTTATTTATTTGACAACAGTTACATTATTAGTACCATTACAAGATATTTTACGATTATGTAATCACCTTGTGGGCATTGCTAACGAAATCATAATTTAGGCATAATTAGTGGGCTAATAAGTACTCATCCTATATACTAAACTACACGAGGACATGGCAATTTTATATATCATAATATAAATCATTATAATGGCACATAAACTTATTTTGTTTTGGAAAGAATGTACGTATTATGACCTACTAAACAATTAAGAAATGGATAGTTAAATCATAAATCTTTAGCATTTGGTGAAGTGCTTAATGATTATTAACATATCAAGCACGACTAATTGGCTATATCTTCGTTACCCCGTAATCAGTTCCATAAAAGGAGCAAAAAAGTGAGCATTTGTATGATTAATAATCACTTGTAATATTATGGTGGTTATAAAACACTTGAATGGTTTAGTTGGATTAAACAAGAAGCAATGTATCATTTAAATACATGTGCAAATATACCATATGTCATTAATCCTTCTTTTAAGTTTTATTTATTCCAATTCTTTCTCCAACTAATGGCAAATTATTAAGGTTTTTGTAAGTGTTGAATTTATTGTAAATTTAAAATTATGAATTCAGACCTGGTACTATTTATTGTAATTTTAGTTATGTCCCACATAAAAAATGTTCGGGTTTAGATATATGAACTCTGTAGGCAACTCTACCCGAGAGAACATCAAACAAATGATGAAAGGAAACTTACCTAAACTATAGATGATTCGACTAACTGACTCTAGTTAATCCGATTCAAACTAAAGACTTAGACAAACAAACGATCTAGATATAATAGATTTACAATATAAGAACACAAGACACAAAATTCAAAATATAACTGAAAACATTGCAACACTCGATTAAGTCCCTTGTTGAGTATGAGCAATGCTTTTATTTTAAATGACTTTGCCTTGTAGATAAACTTGTTTGCAAAAACTAGGTTTTGATCTTGCAGATGTTCCTTTTATAAGAGAGATCAAAACATAGGACTCATGTCATTGGCTGAGGTTGGTTTATCTCAGAAGTGCCCACCAACCACCGGAGAAAGTACAGTTCTACAGTAGTATGCAATTGACTATTTGTAGGTCAAAAACTTTGCAGACCAGGTCCTTTCTACGATAGTTTAATTTGTTAAATCATCCAAATTAAAAAATACAACAAACTTAAACTTCTACAAAGGAAAAGTTGGTCCAGTGACAATACTTGGAGGGGTCGTATCCTTGTCTTCGACATTAGGTTTTGCATGTTACTCATGGGGAATGGCCACACGAACACCAACTAGCTACAAGGCATTGGTTGTTGGTGCTAATAATGGTGTAAGCTGGGGAACGACCTAATAAGGGGTATTATTGGTGTCTGTTTGCGGCTGGGCGTTGACAAGGGTTATCAATGGGACAACATAAGCATGGACGCACTTGTCACTTGGTTTGGCCAAGACCACGGGGTCGTTCATGGTGCTAGGCATTGTGAGGATTTACTAGACGCTATGGGGAACAACCAAGGGGTCATGGGGCATGGCTAGAAAGCCGCCCATGACAATATAGATCTTATCCATATACGATTTACTACATACAATTACAAATATGTTTTTACTTTATGTGAAATTTTTGAAATTAAAGATGATGTTATGTTTGGTTATAATTTTCACAAATAATATTTGGTTGTTTGAACATACTACTTTTCCTTTTGAAAAAAAACATGATATATAATTCAAATGAGATCATTGTTATAAAAATAAAAAAATCTAGATTAAAATTTGAAGGATAAAAAAACATAGTAAAAATGAAAAAAAAATCAAGAACAAGAATATTGATGTTTAATGTAACACCATGTATCCTAAACAGATCAAACCAGCAGAATTTCCAGAAGTTGCAGGTGCAACCCACGGTTGCCACCCACGGATCGTAGGGTGACCTACGATTCGTCCTAGTGGTCCGTGGTTCACCACCTGCAACCCCATTCCAGAAAAGGTCCAAAAATTATTCTAAGGCACGACCCACCATCGGGCCCATGGACCATAAGTCAGATCACGAACCCTGGTCCAGGTCCGTGGATCGAGGCCCCATAACTTAGTCTCATAACCCTGTCGACGGTTGACCAGCACGGATCGTTGGTCCATCCACAGTCCGTTGGTCAGTTCCGTCGGTGGCCCTGACAACTTTTAAGTCAGGGGTCGTTTGGTTTTTTCCCTATGCATTGGACCCCTAAACTATGTTGTTTTGGTCAGTTCTAGCTTGGTAAACTAATTAGAGCTTACCCTAATCAATTATTCACCAAAATCAAGCGAAACTTAGAGAAAAATTAAAGGAGAAAGTCAAGTAGCCCTAGTTCAAGAACGCAACGAGTTTTCATCAGTTCCAACCCCGAGATCGAAAGATTTCTCCGTGGAATTCGTCACTAGGTATGTGGGATTTCACTAGTGGGTTCCTTTCACCCATTAGGTCCCTAGATTTCAGTCATAATCTTGATTCACTTAATATTATCTAGACCTAGGGTTTCTTGAATGTTAGAAATTGTTGGGTTTTAGCTGTTAGAATGATCCAAATCAGATTATCATATTGTTGCTTAGTTTCCTGTACAATATTTAGAACCCTAGCTATGTAGTTCTTTTAGTTCATGAATTACACATGCTAGGTAAGTTATTTTAGATATACATGCTTCAGTTTACGAATGTCATATTATCAGTTATAATTGTTGCATTCTCAAAGTTTGCATGTCAGTAATTGAGTTATCCAGCATTTCATATTTCAGTCATATTATTACTTATATACACTCTAATTTTGAGTAGCTTAATACCGAGTAGACTAGGGTTCAACGTACCCAAATAGTCTCAGAACTACGTGCCTCCGTAAGT